TCCCGCCGAAATGGCCGAGGCGCAGCCCGCGCTGTACACTGGCTCCGTCTTCTCGGTCCTGCTCGAGCTCGATGTCCGCCCGGAGGCCCACGCATTCCTGGTGGCCGGGTCTGCCGCCGACATGGACTCGTCGTCGTCGAAGGCGCTGTGGGGCGTGTGCCTGGGCCACGGCCTCGTGGGGGTCGAGAACGGCAGCGGAGAAAAAGGCGATGTTCGGAACCACGAGTTCTGGGGCGACTATGCCCGCGTCGCCGCGGAGATGGAGCGTCTGTTTAGGGGCAACGGAAACGGCGTCGTGCTCTGTGGTGGAGCCAAGCGGTCCAGGGCCACAGGCAGAACTGTCGGGCTCCGGAAGCCTGGATCGCCGTTGCGTGGGCTGGCGAGGGCCGGCAAGACGGCGGCAGGCTGGAAGGTGCGTGGACGGTTTGCTAGGGCGGCGGGATCGGCGAGGAAGGGGGTTGTCTCTACGGTTTGATGGATGTTTTTTTTTTCCTTCTGGGAGGCGTTTGGCACATTCTTCTCCGGGCCATTGGCGCTTGGTAAGCCTGTGCGGTGAGGATCGGATATTTTGCGCTTTGGACTGGGATCGTTTTCTTCGTTGCATTTTCACTCGCAAACTGGCATGGGAGCTTATTGGGACATCGGGCGGTCAAAAGGTCTGCTTTTTTTCACTACAGCTGGGACCTAGTTTGGGAGATTCTCTTGCTTTAGATAGGTACCCAGGTAGCTCCAAGCCTCTAGGCATTTAGTCTAAGTCCCATTTTTTTTAATCGAGAACTCGCTTCTGCACCGTTTGGGCCAGGCTGGATCGGCTCTCAAGCTCCTGAGTTGCGTGTGCCTTGCTGTTGTTTCCATCAATGTCCTCTCAGCAGACAAAGAGACGACCACCAAGACGGGTGTCTCTACGCTGCGCGGGCATATCCAAATTGTAACAGCCTCGCTCGCCACAAAACGTGACAGCATGTTCATCCTACCCCAGGCGCGCCCCTGCCCCCACCGTCTCTTTTGACCGGGCCGGTGCTGGTGGCGGCAAGCAGCGTCAGGCCGAGGGTTACAGAAAGCGGGAACGGCAAGGGGAGCACCGGCGTAGCGACCATCGCCCCGCCGAGGACCTTGCTGATCTGCTGGGCCTGGCGCGCGACTGCCGGCGATGGCTTCTTGGACGATGAGCGGCCACCCGCGCCTGGGCCCGGGCCCCCGCCTGGGCCTGGGTTGGGGGTAGCCCTGTTTTGGCTGTTTTGACTGGATGCGGGTCGGGCTTGGGCTGAGGTAGGCGGGGGTGGCCCACGACGGCCTTGTTGCCGCTGCTTCTGTTGTTGTTTTGGTTGCTGCTTATTGGTTTGCTGTTGCTGTTGTCTTTGTGGTGGTGTGCCTTTCTGTTCCTGGGGCCTGCGTTGGGACTGTGTATGATGTGGTGTTTTATCTTCTCCTTGCTGACGTGACTCAGCTCTCTCCTGCTGCTGTGGCTGTTTATGCTCCTCCTGCGGTGCCGGATGCTTCTTTTTCCGGCGTCTCCGCCGAGGCTGGCTGTTGCCTTTTGCCTGCGGCTGCGGCTGCTCGGAGGAGTCGACTGGTGCTGGAGCCTCAACATCCCCGGTCACATCCCCGGTCATGTGAGCTCCGGCATGCGAAGCGCTGTCAGTGGGCCTCCCGGATGGGCGGCGGACA